AGGAGAAGAAGAAAAAGAGGCTAGGGTTTTATTGATTCTGCATAATGTAATTGAATGAATAAAACCTAGATACAAAGAGACTATATATAGTCTAAAATAAAGAAAACTTAAAAGACTATTCTACCCTTAATAAATAATGTTAACAAAATAATCATATATTTCTTAACATTTTTCAGCTTGATGGTCTCTACTTTGGGATAACAGTTTTCATTATGGAGCTGTCATTGATTTAGTCACTCTTTAAGTCCATCACGAATCTGTCTTGCCATGTTAATGATCACTTTAACTTCATTTCTATTTCTTAATTTCACTTCACATGTAAAAGGTTGATGCATTTGGTTTGCTAGGCTGATGGATTATTTTGTGTAAATACTACGATTTTGATCTTATCAAGATGTAAGAAGTTCACGGTCGTTACTTTCATTGTTTCATTTAAAATGTGACATCATGTTCAGGACATGGAATTACATTTGGGACATGATTTTCAGATTGATTTGTGCTTTAATATGTGACATCCTTTAATATACCAAGATTTTTCGATTGATTTGTGCTGTAAAATCTGTCGTCTTCAGGGATGTTATTTGCTTTGATTAATAGTTGATCATGGCTGTTAATCTTCATTACAGATTGTAAGACCTCATTAGAATTCAGATCGATGGATTTTAACATTCAAATTCAAGCATTTTCTTCTCATGTCCTCAATTTAGAGTTCTAAATTGAAATCAAGTCACAATTTTAGCACAAAGTTACAATTTCTGGGGGACGCCTGTGGTAAATCACATTGTTAACTTATGTGTGCGAACTCGAAAATATTGGACATATTATGAACACCATTCAAATACATACAACCTAGAAAGTCACAATCAAATATGACAATAAGTCACATGCACAATGTATTACAAATAGTCTGGGTCACAATCACAACAATAAGTAACAAAGTAATATATTACCGTCACAATTTAAACATGCCAATTGCTAATTTTCCAAGGGCAAATGACTTTGTTCATATTCTTCAAATGTAAATGCTACATAAACTATAGATAGTCCTATTTACATGAATTGAAGTCATGGTCACATAAACTTATAGATGACAATTAAATAATAACTTGCACAATTTGACAACATAATAAGTCATAGTTATCACAATTGGTCACAAAATTAAAAGATCACAATCACAATTTAATGCACAAATTATTAATTATCCAAGATCAATTGACTTTGTTCATATTCTTCAAATGCACATACTATATAAACTATAGATAGCCACTTTTCCGTGAATACAGTCACAAACTTAATAGTCACAATCAAATAATGGCTTTAGTCTCGATATCTTGCCTGGAGGCAACATTTCATTCAACACATATTTCTTTGTAACTGCGACCTATCTAGAATCCAACACCAATTATGATGTT